GGAAGAGGAGGAGAGACCTACGGAGTGCATGAAGGTGGGAGAAGCCACGATGAGAGAAAGGGAGGACCGCTCTGACTGTTTTGAGCCCCAACCACTCCAAGGCTGGAGCTGCTGGGCACATGCCAGAAAAGACTCAGGCCCAGACCAGTGTTTCCACACAACCCAGTTGTTCCAGACATCACAAGACCTAGAAGTGCTTACAAGGTCAACAATTAAAACTTGAGCTGCACAAAAAGCCTTCCCCGGGGAATCAGCAGCAATGAAGCAATTTAGCTCAACCACAGGGCTCAAGTGCTGGTTCCCACANCACACACACACACACACACACACACACCACGTACACACACACACTAGCCATTCTAATTCACAAAGGCCAAGGTGCTAGATCTGGGATTTTAGATTTATTTACCAGTGTTTCCCTTAGCATTTTTATCCCTTCTTCTACCTCTGATATGCAATGGGGCATGTCTGTGTTCCCTGCTCTTTTGAGGTTAAATAAAAATTTTACAACAATATTGTAGCACAGGGATGGATTTTGATGGAGCTTTGTTCACTTGGTAGGAAGGAAAGATTAAGTTCAAAAGTGACTCTTCTTGTAAGAAATTAATTAATGTGCACCTTGATTTTTGATAATGTAATGGATCATATGTCCCCTTTCATGCTAGCTGTCTGGAAATTTAGAGACAATTTTGAACAACAACTGCAGCAAGTATGTTTATCTTAATAAGCTGAACATTTTTATTTTTTCTTTCCTTCTGTTTACTTTCATGTATATTTATATTATTTCAAGCTGTGATAAGCTGTTTATAATTTGACCTTGTATTTGTCCATGTTATAGCCACTTGGAATCGTTGATGGGGTAGGATAATACCACACAACACTTAGGGCATGGCCTTTGGAGACTGGCATGCCTAGATTTGAATCCTAACTTTTCCACTTTCGAGTTGCATAAGCCTGTGTGAATCCCTCAGTCTCTCTGCTCCTCAGTTTGCTTTTTCATCTGAAAATGGAAATAACAATATTTGTCCCATAAGCTATAGATAGAAGATAGTCATATTATAAGTAAATAGTATATACAATAAGACATCAATTACTCATAAATTTAAAAAAATCATAATTTGTTTGTCAATTGAATCTAGTCAGGGATTTATGGAATGGTGGGTTCTGTCCTTCATATTAAAAAAAACCCTGATGTTTAACAGAAAATGCATTTGATGAGGTTACCTGCAGTGAATGATCATGGGGCCTTTGCTCTTGGTAGCTTGCTGTCGGACCATGTATACAAACTGCAAGATACTTTCTGCAGCATTTGCTGTGGGCACACCGTGATCAGGCCACGCAGTATAGTTAAAATGCATCACATCCTGCATCTCATCAGCCTTTAGGGAAAAAAGCCAACAACAAGTATTAATCCCCCAGTCCACTGTCAAAATGACGCAGGCCTCCACTGGCGATCACAAGTTAATGGTACAGGAAGGTAGAGCCGTGTTCCACTCCTGGTCAGTACACTTCCTTTTCCAGCTCTGAGCATCGTGTCTGGCATACAGTAGGTCCTGAAAAATAAAACACTAATTGCATAAATCTTCAAATAGTAGGATAGATAGGCTAATCCATGCCTGTGTAGTTAAGGACAAGAGCTTAAGCAGATCAGGGTTTGCATCCTGGCTCTGTCGTTTAGAGGCTGCATCAGCTTGGGCTAATGAATTAAACACTGTGGCAGGTACAGCTGGTGCCCTACTTAGGTCCCCATTGCCATCCTGGTACACCTCTTTCTCTGCCTCGCTGGAAACTGCCTATGTTGTATTCTCCTGCAGGGTACAAAACT